CTGCACCATTCCTCCCCGTCCCCCAGCCCTTCCAACCAGGTACCTGTGAGCATGTCTGATCCCCCTGACTGGTGCCAGCTCCCCCATTAAGATCTTTAGCATGGTTGACTTGCCAGCTCCGTTTTCCCCAACCTAGAGAAGTAGCAGCAGCATTGGAGAATGTGAAATCCATGAAGGCACTTCGGAGAGGGGGGCAGTGATCAGGGAATTTCAGTTCTTGCAGATGATGAGGGGGAGCAGGACAGAGCATAAATGGTGACTTCAGCTACCAAGAAGCTGCATTCCTATCATTGACAAGTAGCACTGGCAGCAGTGGCAGATGTTCCCTCCCCAACCCTCGAGCCTAAGGATTACTTGGCCCCAGACTCATCTGCTAGCACAGTGTCTGCTGCCCCATCCAATGTCGCATGGCCCCCACTACATGCTGCTGTCATCTAACAGGAGTTGTACATGGATGCAGTCTCTTCTCAGAGGTATCCATTGAAATTCTAAATGGTACTAGGAAAAATATTCCAGTGCTCCTCAAAACGAGGATGATCAAATGCTGTGATGGGACCCAGAAGAATGGAAGAAATAGTCCTCCCTGGAAACATCCAGAATTCAAGTGGACAAGGACCTGAGCAACCTGTCCTATAATCAAAGCTATCCCTGCTTTCAGCAGGGTCCTCCCAAGGTCCCTCGCAGCCTCCATTATTCTGCAATCCCACATACCACACAGATGCGGGACTCCAGGTCAGCAGAGACGGAGAGGGAATGAAAGATGTAGTGACTTGGCTCATAATAGAAGTCTACTTCATCCAGCTGCAGGATTGGGGGGGAGAACTTCTCAAAGCCATCGGGGAACCTGAGAAGGCAGGAAGAGGTGAGAGATGGCCAGGAACTTCAGAGACTCCCAACCACCCGGAACAAGCTCTGTAACCCCCCAGGTGACAAGGAGGGCTCCCTACCCTGCAGGGCCTCAGGGAAGGATGGTCACGAGAAGGCAACAAAGACCTGCAGCCTTCACTCCAGGAAGGAACCCAGCCTGAGCGAGGGGACCTCTCTGGTCCCCCTGTCAGAGTACAACTGGCCTACACAAAGGGGTGGTTGTCCCAGCTGGGACAGGACCTTGGAGCAGCTCATGTCAGAAATGGAGCCAAGTGCCCTCCAAACAATGGCTCAGGGGACACTTACCTGATGATCACCTCAGATTCCTTGTCCACAGGTTTCAGCACTGGCCTGCAAGAAGAGGAGACATATAACCAAGGTGCTCTGCACTGTGGGTCTGCTCCCACACCAGAAGCCCAGGTAGAGTCTTTAGCTCTGTGACACCTTTCCCAAACCAAAAAGCCCAAACCACAAGCGTATCTGCCAGGTACCCTGGGAGCCTCCACCTCTTCCCATGAGCACTGCCCCTTTCCCACCTCCAGAGAGGATCAGGATAGGCACTCACAGCTTCTCCAACAGCTTGAGCTTGCTCTGGACTTGGGACGCCCGGTTGGCGTTGTAGCGGAAGCGGTCAATGAAAACCTGCGGGAGAGAAAATCATCAGCAAGCCCCAAGTCCCCTTCAACACCAGCAACCCTGCTCCACTGCCAAACCTATAGCAATATAACCACTAAGGCAGAGAGAAAGGGACAAGGCTGGGAGAAGAATGCCCCAGCTCCACTGGCTTTTCCCAGTACCTGGATGTGCTCACGGTACTGCTGCTGGGCTTCATACTCTCGTTGCTGGTTCTTGAGCCGCTCCTCCTTGATCTTCATGAAGTTCTCAAAGTCCCCACGGTACATGTCCAGC